ACTATCATAAATGTAATGACAGATGATAAAGCAGAGCAAACTTCTTCTTCTTCAGCTCTTTAATAACAAATACTATTTAAAAACAAAGTAGTAATAAGTTGAGCAAAATTCAGTGCACACGTTTAGAGCTGAGCCCCCTGAGATTCTAATAACAGGCCTCCTACTTTCTGTGGCTGAGGTGCCTACTTGGATACATAGATGCCCAAACCAAACTCCTTTCCCCCACGAATGTTGAAGCCCAGGCAGTAATCATCAGAGGTGGTGTAAAGGTGGACGATCCTTTGGAGGGCACCACCTGAGCTTGCCTCTGAAGGGGTCTGTCCACTCTCCTCCACCACCATACGCCTGTGTATCAAATCCACCCTGGACAATAAACAGGACACGAAGCTGGTTATCCACTGGGTCAGAACCCCAGGCTTTCAGAATCCAATACCTCTGTGATAAACTGAGGAATCACCAGGTAGTCTTCTCCTTCGAGTAGCGGATGCCGGGGACTTTACCAACACGTCTCACCACCATCCTCAACCTGTTGTTTCCTGTAAGGACCTTCACAGCGCTGCTCATGGTGATGCTCTCCAGGCTAATGCCATTAACCTCCACCAGTTTATCACCTACAAGCAGCCCTGCTTCCTCTGTAAACAAACACAACCATATACACAAATGCAGAATGAAACTGATGTCAGTTATTAAACAATGAAATCACAGTATTTCACTCTATGGTTGCATTCTATAGAACACTGTTATATCTGTGGCTGTATGCCAATATTTCCTAGTGATTCATGTTACCTGCGGTACTGTTGTCTTCCACCTTACTGACAAAGATACTGAGTCCATGTTCTGAGCCTCCACGCACACTGAAGCCAAGCTTTCCATCCACACTCTTATCCACTGTGATCGTATGGAGGTCTTCACTTTCATCCCCACCTTATTAAAACAGATGGTGTTTCAGTATCTTTATTTTCTTTTTTCTGTAGAACCTTTTCTTTTAAATTAAGAAAATTTAAGAACCTCCGACTCTGACCTTAGATAATATGCTTATTTTATGTGTGTATTCTGTCGTCTGCTGGGGGCGTTTGAGATTTTATTTTTAATTGTTGTTGCAGCCTGAGACTTTATTAACACTCACTGCAGGTCTATTGCCAAATTTTCATTTAAAAAAAATGTTGACCACGTGTATGAGTTCGTTGACTTTCCTTTACAATTTATCATGAGACAAAAAGGTAGAGGACTGACAATCATGTCGGTATGTAAAACAGTAAAGGTAACCTGCTGATTGGGTCTCAACTGCTCTACTCAGGCCTAAATTTCAAAAAGACACTGAATTATTTGACCGTTATACTTATAAACCAGACAAAACCAGTGTTTTGTCCACAGTAGGTTGTAATATGCACCATACAGGCAGCAAGCACAGCTGCTCCTCACCATCCACTGGAGAGTTGATGAGGATGACCCGTCCCATGGGTGAGGAGGATCGGATTCCACGCCGGCGCTGCTCCTTCTTTCGCAGGAGGTTGCGTGTAGCCGTGTGTGACCCCCTTCGGGTCCCACGGGCATTCTCCGTGCGAGACGGGTCTGACAAGTGAGCCATGGAGGCTGTTGGGGTCCACTTTCACACACACTCCACCAGGGGCTCAGCTCCAAGCGGAGTCGTCTACAGAAGTGCATGACAGAAGGGCATCCTCAGACAACTTAATCTCTGTGTCCCCTGCATACTTACATTGGATAAACAGAAGAACTACGTTTACTACGTGTGTTTTGCGATTATTGGCATTAATGCCATGTTTTGTGGGAGCTTGCTAGTGGAGTGAAACAACAGTATGATCCAACTCACCGATACAGGTTGCTTTGTGGCATGATAGCTGACTGTTTGGCTTCCTGGAGTCACACTTTGATCCATTCCTACCCATGTTGCTTCGCTCTCACCTGTCTAAGCCTTGAAGCAGTTTGTCAAATAAATAACACATCAAGTACACAAATACAGAAACGTACTCATGCTATCTGAAGTGTTTATATCTGTTGTTTTAAGTGCTACTCACATCTGACGCACAACAGACAGGCCAACGATTATACTGTACCTGTCACTGGGGGCTAGAAAAGGATTTCACAGGTTTGTTTAGCTCACACGTGACCGACTTTGACTCGTGGTGTCACATGGTGCCGATACCATGGTGACATGTCCAAAAACCTAATCCTGATAAATGTGTCATGTCGTCACCTCAGCACCCTGGACAGTTCCGCTGAAACGCGTGCGCCAAACGGCGATATTCACCTTCAACTAACAATTATCTAACCTACATAAAGTATATTTGCGTCCTATTTACTACATTAACAAGCTACATTAACTTCAGTGTTTATTACACGACACCACCCTGTACCTGCGACAAAACGTGCACACTTTTAGTACCGTATTTTACCAGAAATAACAACCGTACGACAACTAGTTGTTACACTTACCAAACATTTTTCGCATCAAGCCGAGAACTCCGCAGACAAGAGCCCCTTTAATATTAACACTACCAGACAACATATAATGAAAAGAAACAGCAAGTAACTTGCCGACACCAAAACGTATCCCTTATAGCATTAATAATAATCCCATGGTGTGTATTCCAAGTTACTCAGCTAGTTAGACTGCCAGAGTCCACGTTGCGCCAAATGACTCGACGTAGCTGTCTGGGACATTTCTCCCGATTACAATAATCTGCCCTCAGGCCAGGCCATTGGCTGGATTGAAGTCGATTGAACGGATTTGATTGGTCAACTATTACGCCAATCAACGGACAATGTGACAACTTTGTTTTGCAACAGAACAGGATGCAAAAGTAATTCAAACCAATTCACTAAAACGTAACTTAAACGGAATGGCTGAAGCAAACTTTATTTAAAGTATTTATCAAATTTGTGCATCGTTTATTTCCAAATTGTGGTTTGGGGAGTTTTTTTTCCCCATCAGGTCTGCCTCCTCAGTGGTTTAGATGCAAAACTTTACCTATAAAAATGTTTTATTGCTCGAGTTCAGTATTTAAAGCTGAATTAAATAAGATTTAGCACACATTTGGATAGAGCAAGTTAAAAATTACCTACAAGTGTTGCCTTCCTGCTGTACATAACACAGCAGTCAATGTAGCATTTTAGTGCCAAGTGATTAAATTTATGCCATCAACAAAACTAGAAAAGTGGGGAGTTGTTCAACTATCAAAGTGTAACATGAAATTTCTAGTTTCACATACAACTCATGGTTGCGTGTCAAGTATGTAACATTGAACGCTATGCAGTAGTGGCCTGAACATTAGTACTGTATCACTATTATTGGAAAAAAACAGTAATAGCCATCCTTCTCCAAATAATTGTTTCCTCTCTGCCATTAGTGTAAATGCAAACTGGATTTGACCATTAGAGTTTACATCTATACTAATGTTACTTTCAAGCCTATTACTATTGATTAACCATTTCCAAGAAAAATACCCCCCCACCCCCCCAAAAAAACCAGCGTGCAGCTGCTTCATATCTCACATCAAGAACATTTTAAAGCCAGGTACAAATAGAACACACCTGTTTCCATAGTTTCCAGTGTCAACCAGTCCGAGTTGATTCACACAAAACAAAAAGTCATCCAAAACAGCACTACTGTCCCCACTACTGCATTTAAAAACAACAACAAAAAAAAAACTTTTCTAGATGGGTGGGAGATCACATATGACTGAATGAGAATCCCCTGCAGGAAACCATACTGTTCATACATGGTGATGCTGGCTCAGAAAACAGTCCTACCCTCTGCCTAGTGGGATTCAGAGGACTCCTCTCAGTAGTCCTGAGCAAGTTCTTCCAAGCAATGAAGAATGACAAAACTGTAGATAACAGAGGCATGTTTTATTAGTCAGGTGACAGCATCTTGTTTCCCAGGATAACAACAGTATCACAAAGTAATAAACTGAGTGTTAGATATCAGGTCTGCTTCCTCTGAGTTTAAAGGCAGACCATCATTAACACGCTCAGAGCCACTTACTACACAGTCATACCCCAAAATGCACCCTGGTTTCCCCAGAGACTGTTACCCTAATCTTACAGGGCTTGTATATTCATTACAAACATCTCACATGAACATTAAACTATGTCAGCTGTATGTCATTGTAATGGGTCTAAACCTTTCTGTACTGTGAAAGATGCTGGATTCTTACAGCTCAAGGACTTTTTTAAACAAATATGAGATTCTTATTGACCCAGGCTAACACAAAGCTTTATTTCTTCTCTACAGGCAGACATTCCTGTGGTATTCTTCTGGCAGCTCTGATGACATCTTCAATGTTGACTTGATCACCAAACTCAATTTCTCTGTGCTCCAGAAGTATACCCTGCAGGAGAACACAGACAACGAGGGGTTTTCCTCTATTAAAAAAAAAAAAAAAAAAAAGTTCCAAGCGTACTCACTTTGAAGTGCAATAAATGCATTTTGATGAGACCTGATCATCTTGACTAAACATTTTACCTGCTGTCCTCGTCCAATGACAAAGACCCCACCGAGAACATAACCTTCTCCCTGAACATTCCCCATGAAGCCTTTCTTGTAGGCCCTCAGGCCATTAATCCACACCCCAACTCGAAGGAATGCCAGGAGACCCATCTTTCGCTCACGGGGTCCATAAAAACACCTCTGCGATGCAAGCACACAAACCAGATTTCCTCAATAATTCATCAACTCTAATCCAATTTCCCACAAATCCTGAGTGTCTCTTGTTTACAAAAGCGATGCTGGAAAACTGGCTGAATCTGGTTTGGAGATCAGTATTCATTTGTTACGTGAATGGCGTAAAACATGTGTGAATAGGAAGGGTTACACATTCTTGTATAAAAACGTCATTAACGGGGGAGCTGATCACATGCTACACTGATTCATTACAAGGAAAAGAAGTTCACCTTTTCATCCAAGAAGATCTCCCCCTTGAAGTATGGTCTGAAGTTCTGGACCTCGGTGCCGACGTCCTCCTTCACCACAGCATACAGAGGGACCCCCAGCTCATCCAGCTGGGGTTTCAGAGAGGACAGCTCTGCAGCCTCCTGCAGCAGAAAGAGATGACACACAACAGTCAGGTGAACACAAACCGACATGGTTTCACGCCCCCAAAAGTCACAAATACTACTTACAAATAAAAAGGCAAATCAGACACTGGTGGTACTGACCCCCAACAGGTGACCCCAAACCCCAGAATCCCTAAATCTTATTTTGAGGAATGTTTATAAAATGCTGCATATGACAGGAAGTGCATTTCCATTTGATGGAATGGTGCAGCCATTAAAAACATGGGGTGTAACATCTGAATATTTCAGTCTGCATCGCAGACTGTGGACGTGCGGTACTGACATTACCTCTCTGCACAAAAATCATCCAGGCCGCCGAACGGCCATGATGACAGCTCCAGACTTGTCCCACAAAGACTCGGCTTTTAAAGTCTTGATTTCTGAGTGAGAAAACGACGCAAAGCGTTGAAACAGCTCAGTAAGATCGCACTCCAACCAATTAATAAACCGTTAAGAAAATATAAGCTATCGCATGCGGTGCGTAAAAGTAGGACGCCGACTCACCTCCTCGTAGAGTTTTGAGTTCAGTTTCCCTCAAATGTTGGAGAGTGGCCTTCAGCGGTGGAGTGAGAAACATATCGGTGAAAAAATTCGTCAAACCAGTAACGACGCGGCCCACAGCGGACACCATGTTAGACAGGAGTCCCATTGTGATTTCTCCTCTTTGCTCGGTTTCATTCAGCGCATATTGCCTCCTCCTTCGTTACATAGCACTGGAGGCGCACGTCTGACTAGGCGCGGCTACCAGCGCGTTTAAACCCCGGATAAACTTGTTCCTCCAGGCCTCCTCGGTCTCTGTTGGACCGATACTAGTTGGACGAGGTGATCGAATGCAGCTGTGTTTGATTAGAGACGCCGTTATCCAATCTGCAGCGGGAACACAATTAAATACTGAACTTTAGTCGTTATATGCACGAGCACCGTCCCCTCTCCGGTTCAAAGGTCACCCACTGTCATTGGGCCAAAGTATCAGACGTGGCAGCAATAACACTGCAAACTTACACAATACAGTTAAAAAAATAAACGGATTTCTTAAAGCCAGGAATGGCTCAGTGTATTAATGTCAGGTCACCACTAATAAAACCTTCTTCTGCTCCTGAACTTTAGTCGTTATATGCACGAGCACCGTCCCCTCTCTGGTTCAAAGGTCACCCACCGTCATTGGGCCAAAGTATCAGACGTGGCAGCAATAACACTGCAAACTTACACAATACAGTTCAAAAAATAAACGGATTTCTTAAAGCCATATAAAAAGAATGGCTCAGTGTATTAATGTCAGGTCACCACTAATAAAACCTTCTGCTCCCTTCAGTTCTGTTTAGTTCAGACTAAACACAGAGAAGTATCTTTCCATCAAAACTGTTTTACTTACTATTAATTCACTTAATGTTTTACATGTATGTGCAGACAATTTTTATGTCTGAAACACCTGCCTGGATGGAGTATTTAACAACTTACCTACAGATACTAAAATAAACAAGAAATGATCAATGAATAATGTTTATTTCTTAAATAACACTTGTATATTTGTACATTCACTGCGCTACAGTACATGTACTGTACACCCAGTGCACTGAAACTGTACTTTTTAAAACATATGTAGAAGCTGGATTAGTGGATGATGGGCTGTCAAACACTGACTTGATCATGTATGGTCTGCTTCATGTTCTTCCTGAAAAAGACACAATGCTGAATTACAAATTACTCACTAAAGAGTACACTGAAGTCATTAGTCCAGTCCCCTTTGATTACAGGATTTTTTCACATTTAAAACAAATCACAAATTATTTTTGTCATTTCCATGTTTAAACACTTGGCCAACAGGGTGTACCTTCTCCATCTGGTCTTCCATGTCAGGAAGAGGATTTCCATGTTCCTCTTGTGAGATCACGGTCCCCTCTACTGTTACGTCACTCTCAGCTGGAGTCGGGCTTTCAGCTGCCTCATCTGTGTGTTGACCGTCTACCTCCTGAGATGAGATGGTAAGCATTAGACAAAGGTCTCTGAATGTCTGTCCACCGCATTATCAACAGTCTCCCCTGTGTAGCGGTCTACTGCTCCTAGGACATTTTGGTTCACAAGCACAATGCTGCAGTATCAACATTCACAAAGAATAAAAGTTAAACATTCTGCTTTTTACACAAGTATTTATGTAAATGTTCAGAACAGCTAGTAGATTGAATTGGCCACCTTTTCCTGGTCCTGGAGAGAAAGAGGAGGAGGAGAACTTGAATTCTGTGCCTCCTCAGTCTTCAGCATCT